GCATGAGCTCGGGGTCGAACTTCGCCTTCGGGCCTGGAACCAGCCTCTCGCCGTCGAACTGCGAGTCGTACATGGCTCGATGCATCTGCTGCTTCTCCAGGTCACTCTGCGTGGCACCGACACTCATGACGTAGCTCCGTCCAGAGGCGGTGACTACACGCGGGACTCCAGATGCAGCTGAAGATGCCGTCGCAGCGGCAGGGGCACCTGAGCTCGCGGCTCCTGGAGGCGCTGGAAGGTGGACACGCCGTCGTATTGCCTCCATGTTCTTCCACACGCTTCCGACTCCCTGCTGCTCAGGAGATGTGGGCAGGGCACGCTCTGGCAGAGGTGCCTGCTCACGTCGCTTCTGTAGGCCGTCGTAGACCTCGCATGGGTTCAATCGGGTGTGCATCTCCATCTCCTGTTTCTCTATCAGCGCGAGGCGATCCAGCAACTCAGCTTTATCACGCTGCAAAACCTCTAGTCGCTTCTTTTCCTCGCTCTTTCTCACTTCCTCGGAGGCTCCTGCCATGACCCAGTCCTCTTCCTTAGGGACAGCGGCGGCCTCCCCAGTCGGAGCGGCAGACGTTAGTCCAGGCACAGCTCCGTCTGGGGATTCTTTGGTCTTCGATGCTCCCTTTGCCGACGCCTCCACCACGTATGCGGGATGGGCCCTCGCAGGGCCGCTGGATAAGGAGAAATCTGGCTTCTCGCAGCGGCGCGTGTAGAGATTGAGGCGCACAATGCGATCGTTCTTAGTGATGAAGTGGATGGTTGCCGGCGGCGTCAGGTAATCCCTGAAGATATCCTGACGCGGATACCAGCTGCAGAAGATCTCGTCCATCTCCTCTGGCGTGAACGGCACCTCCTTATCCTCGCGCCGCTGGTCGTTGTCGTCCTCGGTGGCCTCAGGATCCTCGCTGGCCTCGTCCTCGTTCTTCACCTCCTTGCTGCTTCTTGCCTTCTTTCTCTCTTTCTTCTCTTCTTTGCTGCTCCTCGCCTTCTTCTTCTTCTCTTTCTTTTCTTCCTTTTCTTCCTTCTCACCGCGGTCTTCTGGTGGACTCCGCTTCTCTTTCTTCGCACCGCGGCCTCCTGGTGTACTCCGCGACCTTGAACGCGAGGAAGCCTCCGCCTCGGGCGGAGGAGGGGCGCGAGGCTCGCGAAGAACAGCTCCCCGATCACGCTGGCGGTCGTCCCGACGATCTCGATGATGATCTTCGCGCTGCTTGGTGTCACGACTCCCGCCTTCACCGCGCCGATCGTCACGGGGCTTGGTATCGCGATTGCCGCCCATCACGATCTTGAATATAGTTGCCGTGATCTCGTCGAGATCCACCTCAGCCGCCGTACAAGGCCTCGATGTGGTCAGCTGCAGGCGCACGAGCCGACCCTGGACGAAGTCGAGGCTCTCGAAGCGGCCTTGCTTGAAGAAGATAGGCTTCTTGTTCGTCACGCGCTCCACGATGTGATGGACCGTGGCAAGGTCAGGAAACTCCAACTCCACGCTGTGCCCCTTTGCGTGGGTGTTGGCCAGAATGCGATGGCAACGCACGACAGCATCCTCGTCCTCCTGATCCTCCCCGCGCCTGGCACGGGCGCGCGCGCGTTCATCACTGCTCTGTGCGGCCCCTGGGCCGTCGTCGGCGTCCTGGCGTAGGCTCGGCGCAGGCATGCTTTTGGGCCTGGGGTGCATAATGATCCGCTCTGGCGCGTCCGCTCGACCCTCCACTGGATGCCTCTGGGCAGGCACCGACTGGGGAGCACGGCGCCATGGAGCGCGGCCACGACGCTCCTCGGCACTGCCTGCCATGCCAACCCAGTGGACGATCGGTCCATGCACCTGCCTAGGCGCCGGCGGCTTCACAGAGGTCCGCTGGTTGGGCGACGCTGGCTGGCCATTCTTAGGCCCGATCTTGTTGTACGGCTCGCGCTCGCCACTCTTCACCTTGGGGCACTCCGGGTCGCCACGCCAGTGGCCAGGCTGATCGCAGTCAGCACACCGGCTGTTAGCCTTGCGCTGGTCTGTCGGCTTCCGACCAGCCTGGAAGGAGCCGCTAGCGTTGATCTTCTTGGGGTCCCGCTGCCGAGGAGCAACGAACCCGCGCTTCTGACGCTGTACCGCCGTCTTCTGCTTGGCCCTCCAGCCGGCCAAGAACGCTTCCTGAAGATCCTCCGGTGCCTCGTACTCCTCGTCGTCAGGCCCGTCGTTGTCCGACACCAGCTCCTCGTCGACCTCAGCGCCGTCCTCGAAGAGGGTGCCCTCGGCCCCTCCATGGTCTCCATCGTCCTGGTCGTCTGCTTCATCTTCGTCATGATGCGCCTCCTCGAGGTCGCCGTGGTGTTCATCGTAGTCTTCGCCGTTCTCTACCTCGTGTACGTGCTGGCCAGGGCGTCCTCGCAGCACGCATGGCCTACGAGCCATGGGAGGGTGCGGATAGCGACCGCCCGAACTCCCAGAGGAGCGCCCGTGCTCACGCTGCGCCGCAAACGGCGAGCGGCGAGGGAGCACTGAGCGCTTCTCGGTGTCGTGCACCTTCGAATAGGCTGCCTTCAGCACAACCTCCATCCGCTTCGAGTCGTAGATGCCGCCACAGTTGAAGAGCACCTGCGCTCGCTCCTTCTGCGACAGTCCAGCGCCACGAAGCATCTTGCTTGCCAATGCGCGATCGCTGATCGCTGATGTGGGATCCTCGAGCTGCAACTCCATGCGCTTCTTGCGCAGGTACGTGGTCCAATCCATGATCGGCTGCCCAGCTCGACGGTGTGCTCGCTCCCAATCCTGATGCACCTGATCGAGGCGCTCGTGATCCATCTTCTCGAAGGCGTCGTCGTAGATAGCAAAGATGGTCTCGAGCGTCTCCTCGCGTCGGAGGTCCGACGCGTCAAGCACCTCGATGAGCTCTTTGGCTCGACCTGTCACTTGACTGTAGATGATCAGGCCCAGCTCCACGTCTGAGAGCTGATTGAGGTTGCGGATGACTTCAACCTCCTTGCGCCACTCTCGGTACTTCTTAGTACTCGTACCGACTCCACCATCGAACTCTGGGAGCCTCACCTGCGACAGCAGTAGACGTGTACGTCTGGGACCGCCGTCGCCACGATCCCGATGCAAGGCCAAGAGCTCCCGCTGGGTCTCGGCCATCACGCGCAGGACTGCATGCAGGTCCGGGGGACCTGTGCCTGCGGAGGACGCAGCCTCCACGTCTGAGCCGTCGTGGCTGGTGGCCATGGCGGCCCACGCGGGTGGTCACAACCACCGAAGCAGAGCACGCAGTGCGTCCGCTGGAGCTTACTTGCTCCGCTACCAATGTCAGTGCAGTTGTTTTCAGCAAAGACCGCGCGGCAGTCCAACTGCGGGTGCGTCCCAGGGCCCTAGGACTAGGGCCAAAACAGCGGCGGGCAGCGTGCATGCCACAAAACAAGACAAGCGTGTACAACATACACACATGGTGGCACGGGCGGCAGAGGGGCAGGGGAGTGCACTCTTCACACCAAGAAGGCCCCAAGAGGCCAACATCATTGATTTCCTTTCGTGTTTTTTGTATCTGGTGTTTGGCCTGCTCGTCCTTTCGGCTTACCGACGCTCCAGGACGGCCCTAAGACGGCCCAAGACGCCTTCAAGACTGCCCAAAAAGGGCCCAATACGGCCCTAAAGGCGTCCAATACGGCCCTAAAGGCGCCCAAGACGGCCGCGAAAGAGGCCCAACATAGGAAACACGAACCGAACATCCGAGCCTTCCGCCCCAAGAGGCCCCCAGGAGGCCCCAAGAGTCACTCGGGAGGCCCGACGAGGCCCCCCAAAGGCCCCCAAGAGGCCCAAAAGATACCCCAAGAGGCGCCGAAACGGCCTACAAGAGGCATCCAAACTGCCTCCAGGAAGCCCTCGAGAGGCCTCCCGCGAGATCCCAACAAACACCTAATAGGCTTCATACTCACAACCCAGGCCCGGTGGCGGGATGGGCCGAAGGCTATTCGATATTCGACTGGGGACCACTGGAGGCACGCGGAGGCTGACCACCGAAGCCTCCAAAGTTCCTGCACGGCCCATTCAAGGATCCTTTTCTGAAGCCCAATCGAAGGCGCACGCAAACATTCCGGAAACCACCTGGATGCCCCTGGAAGCCGATGGGATCCCCTAGAAGCAACCTGGAGAACCCTGGGAACCTATTGGGCGCACGCCTGGAGGCCCTGGACCCGACCCCCGAGAAGCCCCTGGAGGCCCCCAAGGCAGCCTTGGAGGCTCGAGGTCTCCTCCTCCTCCTCCTTCTCCTCCTCCACCCCCTCCTCCTCTTTCGCCTTGTCCTCCTCCTCTTTCGCCTCGTCGTCATCGTCCTCCTCCTCCTCCTCCTTCTCCTCCCCGCCTCGCCCTCTTTCTCCTCCTCCCCGATTCGAAACTCGAGGCTCTCTCTCTCTCTCTCTCTCTCTTTTTCATTTTTGTTTTCTCTACCTGTCTCTCTCTCTCTCTCTCTCTCTCTCTCTCTTTATAACTCCCATCGGTGGCTGCTTCTCCTGATGCCCGCCACGCACCCGAAAATCCTCCACCAGCATGCTGACTGGAACTGGAACTGTGACAAGCCTCAGGGGCCCTCCAAGCGGTCTCTATAAAGCTGGACTCCCTGGCTGAGGTAAAGAGGGCCTGGGCCCTCTTTTCCCATTCAGACTTAGTGCGAATGTGTTGGAGCCGAATTTCTATATCCTATTCCATGCACGAAATGGACGAAACGTCACCCAAATACTGACAAACTGCGCCCCTATGCTGTCGTCGTCAGGTCTCCGTGCCCCCTCATGGAACTGCCCTGGGTCCCCTCACCCTCTTCCCGTCTGATCGTCCTCCCCCTTCCCGAGGGCGCTTGCGCGAGAACGCCCGCGGGGGGGGTGTTCATGATGAAAATGATGAGGGTGATGATTCTGGTGATGATGACGATGACGATGGTGACGGCGCTGAGGGGGAAGAGGAAGAACAGGACGATGAATGGGGGAGGGCAGAGGAAGATGGAGAAGGGGAGCGGGTGATGCTATTCCTTCGGCCACAGCAGTGAAACGACTTATCGGTAGCAACGCAATACACAAGGAAAGCGGGCCCCAGAGGGGGGAGGGAGAGACAGCGAACCAAGCGGGGGGCCCAAAGTACCGAGCCGAGGACGAGGGAACGTCGCGGGCAGGGACGAGGCCCGGCAACTAGCGTGGAACTACGGGCACAGAGGTTCAGAACTCAGCGAAGATTGCACCGATCCTTGGAATGTTGAGGTGGGACTGGAGAAACAAGCTCATGTTCGAGGCCAATCAATCTATGGGCCAATATCGAAATATGCCCAAACAGCCGATCCTTTAGCCGAATTTCCGCGTTGACAGAACAGACGGCTGATGGCTGATAAGCATCGGTCCTCACGTGGCGACGCTCTGAAGTCGAAGCCCCTCGAGCATCCAGCTCACCGATGTAGCTCACCACGAAATGTCGCGCAACGCTGTCCTCGCTCCAACGGCCACGTCCAGTACCGGGAAGGTCGGCCCCTTCGGAAACGATTCAGCAGCAGGGAGAGCCACACCGCGAGGACAACGAACGCCGCCAGGAGCACGAATGTGATGGTGGCGAACGGCACCAGCACCATCAGCAGGAAATACCACGTCGCTAGGACCATGAGCACCACCAGGAGCACGAATGTAATGACGGCGAACGGCACCAGCAGCAGCAGGAAGGACCACATCGCCAGGACCATGAGCGCCGCCAAGCTCACGAACACTAGGATCGCAAACGGCACCAGCAGCAGGAAGGACCACGTCGCCAGGACAAAGAGCACCGCCAGGAGCACGAACATTAGGGTCGCGAACGGCACCAGCACCAGCAGCAGGAAGGACCACATCGTCAGGACAAAGAGCACCGCCAGGAGCACAAACATTATGATGGCGAACGGCACCAGCACCAGCAGCAGGACGGACCACGTCGCCAGGAAAATGAGCACCACCAGGAGCACAAGTGTGATGATGGCGAACGGCACCAGCAGCAGGAAGGATCACATCGCCAGGACAAAGACCACCACCAAGATCACGAACGGCTCGCCCAGCAGCCAGATCAGCAGGAAGGACGGCGCCTCCATCGTGGCATTACCGAGGAACCTTGAGAGGAGGGCCAAAACAGGAGCGCAACGCTGATGACCACCAGTCGCCGTCCGGGCCATGCCAAGAGTCACGAAGGCGGCCAAGGTCGTCACGAGGCCGGCGTGGCGGCAACCCACCAGGACCATCTGGACAATCATCACCACCATGATAGTGGCGGGAGGCATGAGGAAGTTCAGGCGCACCATCAGAAAACCAGATGCACACTTCCCTCATGCCGTTGGAATGTTTGTGGCCACGGTCCACAGCTCGGAGAACTCTTATCAGCTACACGAGGGAGTCCATCGACGCCAGAAGCACCGCTCGTTCAAGAGGCGAGGTTGGGGTGCTGGGTGGGTCCACGAGGATATTGAACTTCGCGCGCCCCTGCCCCGCAACAGCCCCCGCCGAGATGTGAGGACGCGCACCCAACTCAAACTGCCTGCGAAGCCAGGCCAAGCGAAAGGCAACCACCATGTGCGCGCCACGGCGCGCCGAGAGCCCTAGGGCAAGCAAATGCTAGGACACATTGGGCTGAAAGGAGAATGGTTCATGGATGGCGATGACTGTGATCATGGTGATGATGGCTGTGATGATGATGATGATGATGCTGATGATGACGATAATGATGATGATGATGATGATGATGATGATGATGGTGATGATGATGATGGTGATGATGATGATGATGATGATGATGATGGTGATGCTGATGAATCTGAGGATAAGGATGATGCTGATTGATGATGCTGATTCTGATAATGCTGATGGTAGGGATGCTGATGATGCTGCTGATGATGAGGATGCGGATGATAATGATGATACTGATGATAAGCATGCTGATGTTGATGTTGATGTTGATGTTGATGATGATGCTGATGATGATGATGATGATGATGATGATGATGATGATGATGCTGGTTCTGATGAATATTAACATGATGACGATGATGATGAGGCTGCTGCTGATACTGATGGTGATGATGATGATGATGATGATGATGATGGTGATGGTAATGGTGATGATGATGATGATGATGATGATGATGATGATGATGATGATGATGATGATGATGGTGATGGTGATGGTGATGGTGATGGTGATGATGGTGATGGTGATGGTGATGGTGATGAGGAGGAGAAGGAGAAGCATGAGGAGGAGAAGTAGGATGGGGGTGGCCCTCACCTTGCACTTGCTCCCTCCTGCTCTCTGGCTCGGCGCGCCCTCCCCCCCCTTCCCCCGAGAGGGGCCGGGCGGTGGCATGCCTCGAGAGGTCAGATCGGGCTTCGTGTGCGTGTGCGGACGCCGGCACGCGTGGGCGTGGCCCCGTGCCCGCGTCCGGACGGCTCGGGCCTGGACCGAATCGATGTCCCAGGCGTGGCTCGGCCTCAAACCTCGGGCGCAAGGATACTTTTGATCCCGGCGTTCTCCCTGGGCTTCGGCATCTGGGGGGCTGCTCCCAGGCCCTGGGACCATCAGAAACCGACCTGGCACCAAAAAGTGGCCCCGGGGAAGAGGTAAGAGCCCTGGGCCTCACGGAGTGGAAGAATCAATCCGCCAGAGGTCTGCGGCCCGTAGGAGGGCCGGTTGCCGCTCAAATGGCGCGGCTCTCCGAAATCCGGCGTCATGAAAAGCACGGCCTCACAGCAAACATCATCATCGGAACTCCTCATATCGCCGCCAGCCACGGGCCAGAGCAATCTGTGAATGTCCTGGGGTCTCATCGCAACGCTGGGGCGAGAAGGGGATCTCTCGGCCTCGGGGTGCACATCTTTACAGTCGGACTTGGGTCAGAAGAACAACCCGCAAGAACACGATAATCTCCGCCGGCCAAAACACACATAACATCCGAGGGCACCCTCCCCAGGGTGCACCAGAGCACACAACAGGCACGAAGAACATCAGAGTGCCCTCCCGAACCGACCTCGAACTTATACCTCGGTCTGGCTGCACTCCAAATTGTGTCCGCCTGGGGAAGAGGGGGAGGGGGGGGGCCAAAGGGCGGGGGAACACCCAAACCTCAGACCCACGACGTGGGCCCCTGGAACGCTCGACCCGATGCCCCTGGGGCTGGCTGTCTGCCTGGGGGGCGTGCCCTTGCGGACCCGCAGCCTGGACGCATCAAATCCGTCGCCGAGCTCGCAAGCACAACGCGCTCATCCGGTGCTTTTCCTACCCCTCGCGACGCCTGGTGGTACGGGGGGGGTCGCTTCGGCGTAGGGCCTCGGCGGAGCCATTGGCGAGGAGCCCCAGGGACTCGGACCAGCCCTCGGATGTGACAACCACTCGTCCGATCCTCGCATCCCACTCGCTCCTGATCCCTTCATCGCCTTCTCCCCTTCTTCCTGTGCCCCCCCTCTTGTCCTTGTTCCTCCTCCCCCTGCTCCACCTTCTCCTCCTTCTCCTCCTCCTCCTCCTCCTCATTCGGAAGGTTGGAATTAAAGGAAGATGGGACTTCTGGGATATCCCCGCAATTTTTCCCACCTGCCGCGCACGATACGTTCTGTGCTGTCGCTTCCTGCGCTCGCACGGCCGCACGCATCCCATACCGAAGGTACAAGGTCGTGCGGCAAGGGATCAGGAACACATTCTCGAGCGGGCGCGGATGCCCCAAACGGGCACTAGCTCTTCAAGCCAGGAGACCGCTAGGGGCGCACGTGTTGAAAGGGCCCCTGCCTTCTCGGCCCTCGCTTCGCTCGTCTCGAGCTGCCAAGCATCCTTCGCCTGGGCACGCCTTCTGGCTCCGAACGATCGAAACCGCTTTGGATGCGATGCGGCACGTCGAGCACGGAAACCCACTTGTCAATCTCAAGGACACGATCTGGCCATCATATGCGATTGATCGAACGCGGAAACGAACGCCCACCACCCTGGAACATATAGGTGCCAAGAGCTGCCGTGTCGCTCACGTTTCTTCTCGAAGGGACATGATTTGCTTACAAATGACGTTCGCAAATTATTCTCTCACTTCCCGTCTGGTTCATCGCTTGTCATTCTTCTTCTTCTTCTTCGATTTCCATTCCCCTGCAATCCATGTTTGCTAGCAAGCGGCCGCAACTGCCGTACTTGTGCGAGTCATAGGGCGAGGCGTGGGACGAGGGGCTGAGCTCGGTCCTTAGATGGCGGCTGGAGCTCGCAGCGCCGTCCGCATAGCGAGCAGCAGCGACAGAAGATTAGGAGCGTATCTGTTCTGCGCGAGTCCTGGGGTGAAACTCGGACGCAAGGAAGTTGGCCCAACACGCAGCCTCTCATCCAAACAAGCACTACACGAAATACCACAATACCACGACACTACAAAATTATTCCCGCTCGAGCGCGCAATCGCCAAATGCCAAAGAAAGACGATTCTCAACGAGAAACGCCATCGTTGACATCAACAAACAAGATCTGGTATACTCAAACATTATCAACTATAAGCTTCTGGGATTCCGCGCGGGTTTTTCGAGACGACGCCTGACCTCCCTGGCGGCGCCTCCGAACATTTTTTCCGTGGGGCTTGCCTGGTCACGTCAGGAGGCCCGTAAGAGGGCTCCAAGATGGCCTAGCTGTCACGCACATTCACACAGTCGCCCAAGGGGGCTGGCTCTCCAGAGTAGCCCTGTTAGTTCCCTGCACCTTCTACTCCGTATCATCGCTCTATCCGCCACCGTGCCCTGAGGCACGAGTTTAGAAGAAGAGCAACTCGCCATAAGCATACAAACTTTTGTCGCTCCGCGCGGATTTCTTGGATCAACGCTGGGCCCCCTCGGCGTCCTCAGGTCCCGTCGAGCTCTCTGTACTGAAGTCTGTCAGTATGCTCTCAATGGCCCACAGCCTGGAGTTCCGGGCACTCGGGGGGCCTCGTGATCGTCACGCGTGTGCTCTCTCGCGTGACTTAACTTGCACTAATATTGGAGCCCTCTGGGACCCCTCCGAGGTCGAGCTGCAGGGCCACAAGAGGATCTCGCAAGGGCACCAAGAGGAACCGAAGAGGGCTCCGGAGGGCCTTCGAGGGCAGTGGTGGGCAAAATCACGTGAACGCTCTCTCGCGTGACTTGCCCTGCACTGCTGTGAAGCCCCCCCCAGGAGCCCTCCCAGGCCGCGCTGGAAGGCCTCAAGAGGGGCTGGTAAAGGCTCCAAGGGGGCCTGAAGAGGGCTCCCAAGAGTAGGAAGCCCTCCCGTGCGCTCTCGCGCGCTCCTGGGAGGGGTCCCCGCGCGACTTTTTCAACAGGCCCAAGAGCGCGTTGTTCGGGACATGCATGTTCAACATGGTTTCAGATGGCCCCGTGGACTCGCCATCGCTCGGACGTCCATTCCTTGTGCATTTTTCGGTTTCGTGCGTGTACTTTTTGCAAGATGGCCCAGAATGCTCCTCGATGGTCCTCGCCGGGAAGAAAGGCACCCGTCCGAGCGATGCCAAGCCTTGAGCGCCTCTCAGGCTGCCTTGGAGGCCCTGGAGGGCGGCCCGAGAGGCCCAAATCGTCGAAGTCTACTGGATCTATTTGTGTGGTTTTCGCACTACCGCCTTTTCGGTCTTGGGAGCGTCCAAGACGGCCCAAGGGGCGCCTGAGATCACCCCCAGAACGGCCCAATAGCCTCCAAGAGGGGCCCAAGATGCCCCCAAGACGGCCCCAAGAGGGGCCCAAGATGGGGAACACGACCTGAGATTTCGAGCCCTCCGCCCCAAGATGGTCCCAAAATCTCCCTACACGCCCCCGAGAGGCGCCAAGAGGCCCCAAAAGGGCCTCCAAGAGGCCCAAATCGGGCCCCAAGATGCCCCCAAGACGCTCCAAGACACTCCCAAACCCGCCTCCCAGAGGCATCCGAGAGGCCTCTGAAGAGATCCTTACAGGCATCCAGGAGGCCTCTGACCTATAAGCCAGGCGCGGTGGCGGGATGGGCCGAAGGCCACAAGATCCGCCGCCCCCTGCTTGCAGGGGTGCACGGCGTGCTGGATGTTTCAGGTTTTGGTTTTGGTTCTTTTTCTAAAAGAACTCCCCAGTGGGCTTCGGCCCGTCCCGCCGGCCACCCGGAAAGGATGCCCAGGAGCTCAATTCCCCAATTTCCTGCCCCAACTTGGCCCAAGATGGCCTCCAAGACGGCCAAGATGGCCCAAGATGGCCTCCAAGATGCTTCCCAGACGGCCAAGATGGCCTCCAAGACGGGTAAGATGGCTCCAAGATGCCTCCAAGACGGCCCAAGATGCCCTCCAAGACGGCCAAGATGGCCCCAAGATGCCTCCAAGATGGCCCAAGAGGCCTCCAAGACGTTCTCCAGGAGAGCCCGAAGAGGCCAAAATCATTGGTTTTCCTTAGGTTTTTGAAGGTTTTTTGCGTTTTCTTCTTTTCGGCCTTCCGACGGCCCAAGAGGCCCCCAAGATCGCCCAAGAGGCCTCCAAGAAGGCCCTATGACGGCCCAAGGGCCCCCCAAGACGGCCCCAAGAGCGCCCCAAGACGGCCCAAGAGGCCTCCAAGACGCCCAACATGGCCTCCAAGACGGCCCTGAAGCGCCCCAAGAGGGCCCCAAGACGGCCCAGAGAGGCCCCCAAGACGGCTCCAGACGGCGTCAGACGGACCAGGAACGCCCTAAGACGGCCAAAGAGACCCCCAGGAAGCCCCCAAAGGCCCCCAAGAGGCCCAAGGAGGCCCCCAAGATGCCTCCAAGAGGCCTCGAAGAGGCCCCCAAGAAGCCCCCAACAGACCCCAAGGGTGCCCCAAGAGACTCCTAACAACCCTCATCCTCCTACTCTATTTCTTCCTCTTCCTCTTCCTGTTCATAATCATTCTCTCCCATGTGTTCCCCGAAAGCTTTCCAAACCGACTCGGGGAACTCATGGTCCGATAGCTTGGCCAAGCTCTAGTCCAACTTTCGGCCACATCGGCGTTTCCAAAAAGGCAGGGGGCGGCGGTGATTCGCCGTAGGCGTCTTCGATACTTTTGATCCCTTCACTCCACTCCCTCCTCTTCTACCTTCTACTTCTACTCTCGCATTTCCCTTTCTACAGTGATTTTTCCAGCTAGAAGAAACCTACGGCCAGACAGCGGCGACGGCGACGGCGAGGGCTTTGGCGGCGACGACAGCAACGTCGACGGCGACGACGGCGGGGGCGGCGGCGACGGAGCCAGGGACGGCGCCAGCGAGCGTGGCGATGGCGACGACGACGGCGGCGACGGCGATGGCGGCGACGACGGCGACGGCGTCACTCCCCGCTTTCGTTCGGTGAAAGCTGCACTGCTGGAACGCACACTGTAGGCTGCTGAAGCGCTCCCGCACGGTAACACGAGTGGCGGATTCCGGAAACCTTGAACCCAAAAACGTTTTCATCTCTTGGCGACACATCTTTTACTTCCGCCGCTTTCCGCCGAACTTCCGCTGGCTACCTTCGGCTGAGGCGACCTCGCTTTACTTCCGCCGCCCTCCGCGGCGGAAGAGATGACAACTTCTTCGATCCTCGAAGGCAAGGCCCTTGTTGGAACGCCCCACCTGTAGTGGTGGAGCGCATGCCGTGGGATGCTGGATCGCCCTCGATCGGCGAAAACGTTATGCTGGAGCGCACGGTGCGTGTTACTGGAACGCCCGCTCGGGGAGTAAGCCGCGGGCTGCTAGAACGCTCTCGCTCGATCAAAATACGGAACGGGAGCGGACGCCGCGGGCTGCCGGAGCGCGCTTCCGCGGTGTAGCGAAATTCTACAGCGCATGCGTGTTGTCGGCATGGGCTGCCAGAGCGCCCTCGCTCGATAAAAATGGGGGTGCTGGAGCGGCACCACGTTTAGGGCTTGAAACACACCACTGAAGGGAGGAAGGGGAGGCGAGGGCGCGGGCGGCTGGGGGTTCTAGCATGCAATTGCTCGGACCTCGCTCGCAAAAGGCCTATGTACGGGCGCAGCGCGGATCAAAGCGTGAAGATGACCCCAGAGATGTCCCGATGCATACGCATGCACCTTATATCTTCACTGGCAGCACTATTCCACTGACTGTGGGCCCTGCTAAAACCATAAGAAATCCGCGCTCTGCTCTATACTGTCTGCACTCTGCAATTTCCACCCTCTACTTTTTATCCTGGCTGCTCTCTTGAGACCCCGGGAACCTTGCCGCCTCTCGGAGCCGAGGAACCTGGTCACGCACTCAAATCGGTGGCGTACTTGAACCATATCCTTCAACATCCGTGATCATCCATTCAATGCAAACATTGACTGGGAAATCTCGGGAGCATGGCCGCCTACCGAAATCTACCTGGCACTTTCGCCAAGTCCTGACAGCTTCCGCGAGGACCCCTCCAGTGCACGCGCTGACTGGGGAATTCGCCGAACCTTCGATGTTCCTCGGCGTGTGAAACAATCGCCCATCCCCAAACACCTTTTCTGGGAGCCTATTGCCGGGTTGAATGGGAAGGCCTGGCCGGCGGGGCCGACGGACTCATCTGGCCCTGCAAACCTGGGCCCGGCACAGAAACGGAAAGAGCGCTTCAGAAACAGAAACCGAAATTACTCACACCACTGTTCGTACTGGGAGCCTTGGCGTTGAGAGCTTGTTACGTCACCCCTCGCTCTTAGGAGCCTTGATGTTCAGAGATTGTTGCGTTGCCGCCCGTTCCTGAGCCTTGGCTGGGCCTTGGTGTCAGGAACTTGTTGCGTCACCGCTCTCTGCTGGGAGCCTTGGTCTTATCAGCTTGTTTACGTCACGGTTCGCTCTTGGGAGCCTTGGTGTGAAGAGCTTTTCGCGTTACCGATCGCTCTTTATTTGGCGTCGGTGGGCCTTCTTGGGAGTCCTATGAGGGCCCTTTTGAAGCCCTTTTGGAAGCCTCTTGGGAACCTCTTGGGAGCCTCTTGGGGCTTCTTGGGGGGTTCTTGGGGCCTCCTGTGAGATTCTTGAGGTGAAAGGCTAGACTTTTCGATTCGTGGTCCCCCTCTTGGGGCCGTCTTGGGGCCCTCTTGGGCCGTCTTGGGCGCCTCTTGGGCCATCTTGGGCCGTTTTGGGGGCCTCTTGGGCCGCCTTGGGGCGGTCTTGAGGGCCTGTTGGACTGTCTTCAACGCCGTGAAAGCCGAAAAGCCGTGCATGGTAAAAATGTACCTTTTCCCATCGGGGATTAATAATATTGGCCTCCTGGTGGCCTCCTGGGACGCCTCTTGGGGGCCTCTTGGGGCTTCTTGGGGGGTTCTTGGGGCCTCCTGGGAGCGTCTTGAAGCGAAAGGCTAGACTTTTCGGTTCGTGGTCCCCCTCTTGGGGCCGTCTTGGGGCCCTCTTGGGCCGTCTTGGGCGCCTCTTGGGCCGTCTTGGGGCCCTCTCGGGCCGTTTTGGGGGCCTCTTGGGAGCCTCTTAGGCCGTCTTGGGGCGGTCTTGGGGGGCTCCTGGGCCGTCGTCAACGCAGTGAAAGCCGAACAGCCGTATATGCTAAAAATGTACGTTTCCAAACGGAAAATCAATGATTTTGGCCCTTTGGGGCCCTCTTGGGACGCCCCTTGGGCGCCTCTTGGGGGCCTCTTGGGCCGTCTTAGGCGGTCTTGGGCTCTCTTGGAGCGGTCTTGGGCCGTTTTGGGGGGGAACCCGAAAAACCTGGCCCGGCACATAAACGGCAAGAGCGCTTCAGAAACAGAAACCGAAATTACTCACACCACCTTTCGTACCGGGAGCCTTGGCGTTGAGAGCTTGTTACGTCACCCCTCGCTCTTGGGAGCCTCGGTGGTCAGAGATTGTTGCGTTGCCGCCCGTTCCTGAGCCTTGGCTGGACCTTGGTGTCAGGAACTTGTCACCGCTCTCTGCTGGGAGCCTTGGTCTTATCAGCGTGTTTACGTCACCGTTCGCTCTTGGGAGCCTTGGTGTGAAGAGCTTTTCGCGTTACCGATCGCTCTTTATTTGGCGTCGGTGGGCCTTCTTGGGAGTCCTATGAGGGCCCTTTTGGAAGCCTCTTAGCGGCCTCTTGGGGCTTTTTGGGGGGTTCTTGGGGCCTCCTGGGAGCTGCTTGGGGCGAAAGGCTAGCTTTTCGGTTCGTGGCCCCCCTCTTGGGGCCGTCTTGAGGCCCTCTTGGGCCGTCTTGGGCGCCTCTTGGGCCGTCTTGGGGCCCTCTCGGGCCGTTTTGGGGGCCTCTTGGGCTGTCTGGGGGCGGTCTCGGGGGCCTCTTGGACCGTCTTCAACGCCGTGAACGCCGAAAAGCCGTGTATGGTAAAATTGACCTTTTCCCATCGGGGATTAATAATATTGGCCTCCTGGTGGCCTCCTGGGGCGCCTCTTGGGGGCCTCTTGGGGCTTCTTGGGGGGTTCTTGGGGCCTCCTGGGAGCGTCTTGAAGCGAAAGGCTAGACTTTTCGGTTCGTGGTCCCCCTCATGGGGCCGTCTTGGGGCCCTGGGCGCCTCTTGGGCCATCTTGGGGCCCTCTCGGGCCGTTTTGGGTGCCTCTTGGGAGCATCTTAGGCCGTCTTGGGGCGGTCTTGGGGAGCTCTTGGCCGTCGTCAGCGCAGTGAAAGCCGAACAACCGTATATGCAAAAAATATACGTTTTCCCACGGAAAATCAATGATTTTGGCCCTTTGGGGCCCTCTTGGGACGCCCCTTGGGCGCCTCTTGGGGGCCTCTTGGGCCGTCTTGGGCCGTCCTGGGTTGTCTTGGGCGGTCTTGGGCTCTTCTGGGACGGAAAACGGGAGAAACCAGACAAACATGCGAAAACCCAAAGGAAAACTGCCCAACACGGCCATTCGACTTTTGCGCCCCGCCCTCGCCCCCCCTGGACCCCCCCCCTAAAGGCTTCGCCCACAACAGAACGTCATCACTCGTACCTCGCTCTTTCCGTTACATGCCAAAACCCGAAGGAAAACTGCCAAAACCGGCAAGTAGACCAATGCCCTCCCCCTCCCCCCCTCCCCTGGAACCCCTCCCTTAAAGGCTTCGCCCACACCAGAACGTCATCACTCGTACCTCGCTCTATCCGTTACCTCCCAAGAACGGCCAGTAGACGGACAGGCATGGTCACAAGACTGCTCCAGATGGTCTCCATGTGGCCCACGTTTGCCCACAGACAGCTCCAGATGGCTTCAAGCCAGCCCAAGAGGCCTCCAAAACGCCCCAAGCGGGGTCCATGAGGAACGCCAAAGCAAGAATCGTCCCAATCCCTTCGGACACTGTGCTTTCCTAGCGCCTTCGCTGTCTAGGTCCACGCAGCGTCCACGACGACTTGCGCGGCCTCAACATCGCCCCAAGAAAGCCCGCGAGGCCACCAAAAAGCCGCCAAGCGAGCCGCAAAACCACTCAAGTGGGCCCAGTCCAGGAGGCCCCCAAGACGGCCTGCAAAGCGCCCAAGACGGCCCCAAGAGGGGGAAAGAAAAGATGCCCTGGGGCCAAGATAACCGCAGAGACCGCCCAGAAATCTCCAAAGCTGTGGGCAACCTTTGAGGCTGAGCCTAACCTAATCAAATCCTCCCCCTCCTCCTCCCCCTCCTCCTCCACCTCCTCCTCCTCCTCCTCCTCGTCTTCCTCCTCCTCCTCCTCCTCCTCCTCCTCCTCCTCCTCCTCCTCCTCCTCCTCCTCCCCCTCCTCTTCCTCCTTCTCCTCCCCCTCCTCCTCCCCCTCCTCCTCTTCTGTCCCAGAAGCTTCCAATCCATCGCTCGTTTGTTGCGGGCCCCGCTGCTTGGCCCCCGAGGGGCCAGCGGTGCGGCGCAAGCCCGTGAATCAGTGTGCTTGCTATGCTTAGTTGAACTCATTGTGGCTGCTCAAACGATGGCATTTGTCGAGCTAACCCCTCGCTAGATGCAGGTGAGCGGAAACGCTGCTGATGGCGCCTCTCTTCTGTCGGCGGCTATGCGGACGGCGATCCGGGAGCACGCTCCAAAGCACACTTTGGATGCTGTGGCTGCTCCGGTTGCCTGCGCTGTGATGTCTGCGGCTGCGCGGCCGTAGTGCCAACGACTATGCACAAGGAGCGAGCTCAGCATGCTCGGGGCAGGGCTGACGACCCTGATGATCATGCAGAATAATTTTGGAAACTTCGAAATGTGCGGCGTGCCCACGACTATGCAAGAAGGGAAAACCTCTGACAGCTAAGCAGGCGGCATTCGATAGTCTGGCTTCTCCTGATTTTCCCAATGGCTTTTAGCCTTGATTTAGGGCCGTACCACCTCTGGCAGGTGCTGCCAGCATAAGCGCAGACCTCAGGGGAATCGTTACTGCAGAGCCTGCTCTGGCTACTGCTCTACGTCCAGTTGTTATTTTACCCTCGCATCTCAGACGTACGCTCTTCGATTCAATGTCGGGCCCACTGCCCCGAGCTGAGATAGCAGATGAGCCGAACTTATGCCACATGCTGGGGAGAGCTCCGTCAGCGCTATCTAACTAAGCCCACAGCCATTGAGAAACTTGGGCGGACAATAGTAATGCTTGTGCTTGAGGTGATGCTGCAGCCAAATCTAATTGGCCTCATCGCGAAACAGGGCATGTGAGAAAATAGCCTGCTTCTTCCTCTGATCACACGGCAGCCACGCATACTACCTCCCCAATTTGTGTTTATGCATTCCAGCTGAATGGCTTCATGCGTGGAGAACTATAGATTTGGGTGGCAGATCATGTTCTGGTGGTTCTGGGGATGTTTTCTTCGATCCTGTGTGTCTGCACGTTTGCCCCGTGCGACCACCACACGCCGCGTTTGATGCACCAAGCCTCACGCAGCCAAACTCATCAGTTTTCAAGTCAGGTAGCCCCTGTTCCATTTCCTTTCTTGCATTCGCCGAAATTCAGATAGACACTGTTCAGACTTACTTCTGCTCTGGTGCTGCTGGACAATGGGCGGACCAAGAGGGCAAGCGGAGCCTTCAGCCGTATCTCTCAATCTGGTGCATCCCTCATGACCAATTGTCGTGCCAAAGTCGTGGGGCGCTTCACGCCTTGTTTCCTTCTTTTCCGACGAGGTTCGGCTTCGTCTCCCCTCCATGTTTGGCCCTTCTTGCAGGCATGTTTCTGGCATGGTTGGATGCAACCGTTCCAAGCCAGGGCCTCCTCCTCCTCCTATTGCTGCTTGGCCTCCTCTCTTTCTTCTCAATTTCCCTTCAGGGGGAACCCTTTCACACATCATGGGAATATGATCCTTTACTCCTCCTTCTCCTCATCCTCAGCTGGCCGATCGATCTGGCCCCGAAGCGCGAGCCACCCCTGCTGATCGAAAACCCAATCGCTTTGGCACCGATCGGCGACTGGTGGATCTGCGATTCACGTTCTCCTCCTCCCTCCTCTCCTCCTCATACAACAGAACCCGATCGACGGGTCGGAGTCTTCTGAGGCATGGGCATGCCGTAGCCCTGTCGCACGATGGGGATCCCTAGGCGTTTCTTAGCCTTCAGGGCCAACTCGTAGCCTGCGCCGAGGTGGGCAGCTCCGATGATGATGTTAATGATGACGATGATGAAACGCCCCCAGTGCGGTTCTTCAAGACATCTGCAACACATATACAAAACAGCTCAGCTAGGAAACCTCTATCTTCCCCCAACGAATCCGAAACATCCACCTGCACAGCTCTAGAGTTGTTTCTCATGGGAGCCTGAATGATCAACTCGAGTCGGCCACCCTTTGCTGATCTCACCTGTACATCTGAGGAGGAAAAAGAGAGGAGGAGGAGAGCCATATGGCAATGTGAGCCACGGCCAAGCAGCTAGTCTGGATAATGTATTGAATTTCTGGATTCTCCGGGACTGGAATTTCAGAATTTTCTGCATTATCCGGAATTTCCAGAAATTCTGGGTTTGCAGAATCTTCAAAAGGTTTGTGGGATTTTTCAAACTTTGTTTGAATGTCTGGAAATTTCTGGAATGTCTGGAATTCCCCTGACTCCAGACGGCCTGGAGTCTTCGAAAGATCGATCCAGGACGCCCAAGCAGGCTTCAGACGGCCCGATCATCTCCGAGACGCCACAAGAGGTCTCCAAGAGCGCTCCCAAGAGGGCTCAAGGACGCTTCAGGTTGTTGTCATCGTGTAGCGGTTCTGCTTTTTCGGCTTCTAGACGCTGCAAGACGGCCAAGAGGCTTCAACTATAGCCATGAGACGAACTAAGAGGTTCCCAAAAAGGCGCGGGGACGGCCCGAGGGGCCTCCAAGACGGCTCCAAGATGCCTCCAGGACGGCTCAGGAGGGCGTTCCAAGAAACTTGCGGGAGGCTCCAAGAGGCCCTCGAAGAGCCCCCCAAGAGGTTCTAACAGTTCAGACAAGAGGTCCCCTGAAGCCCAAAGAGGCCCCCTAAGAGGCTCCCAAAACGCGGAGCGCGACAAGGAGGGGTGTCCAACGCCGATCCGAGCAATCCGCGCGGATCTCCGAGTTTTGACGTTTATGTGATCGCTTGTTTCCCTAAATGCATCCGTCCGTCCGTGCCTGCCGAAGAGGGCCTGGGGCTGCTGCCTGCCGGGGCGCGGATCACTGCGCCCGGCAATGTCCTCGCCATCGCTCGGACGTCCACTCCTTGTGCATTTCTCGGTTTCTCGCGTATTTCTTTTCCGCAAGGTGAACAAGCATGCTCCTCGATGGTCCTCGCCGGGAAAAAGTGCACACGCCCGAGCGATGCCAAGTGTCGAGTACGTTCCAAGGGGCTCCTGGATCCGCATCCTCCTCCCGCCTCCCGCCCCCTTACTCCTGCCCTCCTGGAAACATTTGGAAACTTGCGAGGCGGCCGCCCAAACCGTCCGAGGGCCTCCAGAAGTTGGCGACGCACTCCCCGCCAGAAACCTCCTTTCCCCAAACATCCTACGATGTGATGTTTTCAATCCGCGGCCCCAGTGCTCAGACCCCTCACCTGGGGGAGTCATCCGTCCCGCATCCATGCATGATTGTCCTGGGCCCCGACAAGCCCCCGGAGGCCGAAACAGAGGAAACACCAGCGGGAGTGTCTAATTCGATCCGCCCGATATCTTGAAAAATGGCGACCTCCCCCGGCAATCTCCTCCACCCATGCCCTGCCGTCGCCCAAGTGCATTTTCTTCCGTGTGCATTTCCTGATTCTCTGTTCGCGAGGGTTGCCGGAGGCTGCTGGACTCCTCGCAGCTCCGCAAAGCAGGCTTGCACGGGTCCAGGTCGAGCGAAGGGTTCCGTGAAGAGAAGCAAACTCCACACGTCCGAGCGGCGCCCGGCCCGCGCCTAGAGGAGCAGCTCCGCAGAAGAGTTCCTTTAGCGAGGTGAGGGGCAACACCTCGGGCGGCCGCGCGTCGGGGGGCGATTCCCGGGCCAGCTGGCAGAGGCTGGTCCGATCGGCGAGTCAACAACGAACCGGAGGGCCTGCTCATCTTTCTCCTCCTCCTCCTCCTCCTCCTCCTCCTCCTCCTCCTCCTCCTCCTCCTCCCTCTTCCATTCCTTTACCTGATGGATAACTCCCCCCTGTCGCACCCCGAGGCCGGTCGAAAGGGCGGGCCGGGAGATTCGCTTGAGACTTCCTCACCACTTATGACCCTGATACTTAACAGTTGACAGCAGTTTTACACATGGAGGGCGGGTCGTTTTCAAAATGTGGCTCTCGCCTCAGCGCCACGTACATTAACTTTAAACATGTTCAGCAGTTTCTCGGATTGAGGGCGGGTCGTTTCCAAAATGTGGCTCGCGCCTTGTCGCCACGCATATTCGTTTCAAAAAATTGGAAGAGTTTCGTGGATTGGGGGCTGTTACTTTTCAAAATGAGGCTCCTGCCGCAGCGCCGCGCACATTCGCTTTGAACATTTGCAAGAATTTCACAAATTGTAAGCGGTTCGTTTTCAAAATGAGGTTCTCGCCTTGGCGCCGTGTACATTGGTTTAAGCACTTGGAAGAGCTTCACGGATTGAGGGCTGTTCCTTTTCAAAATGTGGCTCTCGCCTTAGCGCCGCGCACATTCGCTTTAAGCATTTGCAAGAATTTCACTGGTTCTCATGGTTAACGAACCAGCACTTGTTTTGGAGCGATTCAGGACTGGCAGAGCGTACCAGTTACATTGATTCGTGGTGTTGAGGTCCCAGAAACGGTCTTCTGGCACGATTCAGGACCGCCAAGACGTAACAGTCAGGTCAACTCGCGGCGTTGAAGTTATGATGATGGTTTTTTGACGCGACTCAAAATATTTCACACGGTTGTCCCCCAACGAATCAATTCCCTCTGTGGACATTGCTCCTTCTAGGGGACTATGAAAAGGGATCTTGGAGGGAGGGTGTATTTCAACATCGTTCATGAGTCTTGGATTTGCACTGGTCCTCCCTCCCTCCTCCTCCTCCTCCTCCTCCTCTTCCTCCTCCTTCTCCTCCTCCTCTCTCCTCCCTCCTCCCTCCTCCCTCCCTCCCTGCCTCTCTCCCTCCCGCCTGCTACCACTTCTGCTCCTGCTGCTACTCCTCGTCGTCGTCGTCCTCCTCCTCCTCCTCTTCCCTCGTCTTGCAGCTCCTGCTGCTAGTCCTCCTCCTGATGCTGACGTTCTTCCTCCTCCTCATTCTCCTCGTCCTCCTCGTCTCTTTCTCCTTCAACTGCTTTCACTGCCAGGAATTCGCATGCCCATAACATGCGCACGCCAGAGCTCTGCAACACTAGAGGAGAAATCAATCTAAGCGGATTGGGCACAACACCGCGTCTGAGAAGCCAGGCGTGACAACGCACGATCATGCAAGGTATGACTCTTTTTCAGACATGAAGTCGGCGTGCCCATTCTGGAGACCCATACTCTCTGGGGGATCACAGGGGCATGATGATACATACCAATATTCCAATTCTTACGCATCCTGCATGGAAGAACCCCCCGCGGATTACTGTCCCCCCAAATCCCAGGACGCTTCTCGGACGCACGCCCCCTGCCCCAGGGCACCTTTCCGACGCCCCCCCCGAAGCCTCCCCGGCTAGCCGTCCACACTCGTCTGGGCGCCAAGGAGGTCCCCGAGGCCTCGCCGCGACTCCCAGCATGGACAAGAGAGCCCGCGAACGGTTCCCGCATGGTTCCCTTGAAAAGAGAGCGCCTCTACGGGGTCGGAAAAACGCTCGGATTGAATAACCCAATCCGCCCGAAGTCTGGGCCACTCCCCATACATTGTCCTCCTGCACGTCGAGGCGCGACGCGCCCGTCCTTGGGGCACCTTTGCCACGGGGCGGCCCACGGAAGGTCAGAGTTCTGGCCTAGTCTGGAAAGAGAAAGGGGGGCGTACGGTTTTCAGGGGGCTCCAGGGGGCTCCCAGGTTGTCAGAGGAGCAGCTGCAGGAAGCTCCCTCATGGAGCGAACTCTTCATCGGGTGCGGCACGAAAACTATTGTTATCGGACGAACTCCTAATCCTTCGTCTCTCGTCAGTCGCCCAATATCCGACAGCCTACACCTGTTGGGTACTACTAACTTGGAGAAAACCAGTGCTCGAACCGCTCCAACAGCATTCGGGGACAATCTCAAGACTCAACATGCTGGGACTAAGCAGAAAGAGTCGGCAGCACCTCCTTGACGAGAGGATTGTTCGCCAGGAAATTCACGAGGGGAGGCGCGACGTGAGCCACGGTCACATCGTACTTTTTCAAGAGCTGCAGATACTCCTTGGCCTGGAACTTCGGCATAGTGACGATCCGAACGCCACTGCGAAGGCCCATGGCAAGCACCTCAGCAGCGTAGTAAGATGCTCTGGCGACTGCACCGTTCTGTCCCTCCATGCATGGCGAGGCCCAGAGAGGACTCCAGCGGGGCCAATACGAGGTGCGGTGCGGTCCTGACGGCCCTCAAAATTCCAAGAACTCCCCAAACGCGAGTCCAACTTAGGCTCTTAAAGCCGTGACTGGTTCTGATGCCCGGCTCCCCCTGCTGCTGGCTCCCCTGAAGCCTGGCTGACATGCCCGCCCACCATCGCGTCTCCTCCCCTTCCGTTTCGCTCTGAAACCCCGTCCTCACGCAAGACAGTCCACCTCGATAGCACAACCGAAAACTGGTCGAATCGACCAACGAAACCGAAATCGACCGAATTAGACTGACCGCAACCAGACTAGAGACTAGAATGGCGAAACAACGTAGCAACGACGTAAAATCCGACCGAACCGAATCGACCAAATACATCCGACTACGACGCAACCGAGCCGTCAGAACCGCGGACACCCTTGCGTCCTGACGGCGCCGTCCCTAACCGTAGTCAGGGACAGATCCTGCGCCGCCAGGTACGGCGCAGCCAGCCGCCGCCCTTCATGGAGCGGCGTGACCAGGAACGGCGCCACTCGACAGAGCCTCGGGCCACGCGACTTCGCTCGTAGCGGCGCGCGCTGTGTTTGCCTCGTGTGGCTCTCTCGCCACGCTGCTGGACATGTGGACCGCCCCCGAAGCTCGAGCGGTCCCTCAGGCAGAAGGCCACGCCCGCGGCGCCGAACTCGCCGTCTCCGCCCTCCAGCCGTCTGCCCGCGAGAACTGCAGAAGCAAGGGAGCTTAAAAGTGCGCGTGCCCTCCGAGGAGTGCAACGCATAAGGAGCGCGCGCGACTCGGGCAGGAGTGCCTGCCCGAGTCGAAAGACGGGGCGTGTCATGTCTCTAGCCCTCTCCCTCTCCCCCACTCTCTCTCTCTCTGTATATTCCTCTTCCTATATCTTTATAAGCCCGGGTGGGGGGAAAACCCGTCCCCCCCCCTTAAAACCGGACCCCCGGGATCTGGAGCTTTGGGACCCTCCGGACTGGCCTCGAAGCGGCCCCCTGGGCCTCGCAGGGCGTTTTGCCAAGCCTTCGCAGCACACCCAAGGCGATCAGGGGGGTCACCGGAGACGTCCCAGAGACCCCCAAGACAGCACAAGAGCGTTCCAAAAAGCCGTCATACCCCGAAAGATCGCTCCAAAACGTACCAAGAGGCCTCCAAGAGCACCCCCAAGAAGGCCCCAAGAGGAAAAAATCGTTAATTCTATGTAGGTTTTTGGTGCATTTAGGGTTCTCCTCTTTTCGGCTTCCCGACGCTCCAAGACGGCGGTCTCCTAGGCGTCCGAAGCCGCCTGGGAGGCTCCCAAATTGCTCCACAACCATCCGAAAGGGCTTCCAGGCAGTCCAAGAGAGCCCCAAAACGGCACAACAGGGGTCCAAAATGGCCCTAAGAGAGCACCATGGCGGCCCAAGATGGCCCCAAGACACCCTCCGAAGCATTCCAAATCGTGACTGGGGCGTTCAGGGAGACCGCGGTTAGAGGCAGGTTGGCCTTAGGAAGCCCCAGAGGCCCCCAGAACACACCCAGGAGGCCTTCAGAAGGCTTTAAGAAAGCCTGAGAACTTTGGTGAGGCCCCCTGAGGCTCTCCAAAGAGGAGCCTCCGCAAAAAAAGAGCTGAGGAGGATGGTGAGAATGCCCAGGGTATGGCGAAAATGAAGAAAAATAAGCATGGAGGAAGGATAACGAACAACATTACGATAACGGCGATGCCAGAAAAGGCAGCAAGAAGTTATCGCTAATTTGTCGGCTTGTCCTTCCTGCCGTTTCCGCCTGCATACCAAACTTCAAGGACCAAGGTGCATGGCGCGAAGCGCCACTGCAGTCTTGTGTATATATATATATATGTAGATGTAAAACTGATTTCATATCTTTATCTCTCTTCCTCTCTCGCTCTGCCTTCCGTAGCTCTCTCTCTCCCTCTCTCCCTCTCTGACCGTCTCTCCTCATGTCAATTACTTCTTTCTCTCTCTCTCTCTCGATCTTATCCCCCCGCTTGTCGCCAACGTCAGCGCTTCGCTCCGAACAGGTACTCTGCACTTCTGAATCGAGGCGGATGCATGTTCCAGCGGGATACCTTGTTCATACCATAAATATGGAAGAACGGCAGGACTGCGAGGAACGTGTCCTTCTTGCCTATGTTTGGGAAGATGCACTCTGACATCTGCTTGATGTTGGCGACAAGGTTGTGGTGGGTCAGCTGAGTGTTTGCTCAGAGCCCAACGGCAATGCACGCGTGACGCACGCAGCTTGGATATCCCCTCGCGCACGTTGTGTTACACCTTTGGCACCCCCTGCTGTACACCCTTCGGTTCTGGGCCCAAAGACCGCCACACAACACGAGATCAGGGCAGGAGCCATTACTGGGAACACCAATGTGTCACGCGGGTTTGGCGTCATCGAAAATAGTAAACCATACTCATAGCAAGTGTTGCTATTCTGGAACCGTCGACACACCAACGCATATAAAACATGTTGCCTGATTGCGACTAAGATGCCAACGTGGACTGCAGACATGGAACCAACAGTGCCAGCAGCGCGTCCACAAATGCTGACATCCGATGCCACAAATGGTGGCATGTGCGAAAACAAAGCCAGGGACACTGAACGTACACAACATCTGCAGACAACAGGCAGGAAGAAAAGGACGAACTCCTGCACGCCCTTCGGCATCCCGGTTGTCCCTGACGAGTAAGGCAGCACAGCCACGTCGTTCTGCTTGTCTATCTGGACAGGCTGGAACTGTCGAGGGCAGTGCATCTTCTTTCAACAAAAACATCGTACTGCAGGTGCGTGCAGACCTAGTATCAAGATTGCGATACTCTTTTCTCGTCCATCCGATTTCCGCGAGCAACTGAACACACCGAGGGAGGACATAACAATCTGTGAAGGACAGGTATGAGCACATGGTGGCATGCAAGTTAAGGCGAAGACGCATGTGGAGGTGTTATATCATTTGCTAGTGGTTTGGCGAATGGAGGCGGCAAGCCAGCTACATCGAGTCGAGTCAGACAACGTATCGAAGAGTCCGCCGATGAAATCTAGCTGACACTGTTTACCCGCACGCGCTAAAATGTCGCAAGATGGCTGTGCGATGTTGGCGCTGTTACCGAGGGTCTTCGCAACCAGAACGGCGATGCATGCCGCCGTGCTCTATTGATGTGCGCGCGAGGATGTGAAGGGCAGGGTTGACCTGGCTAGGGCTGGCATGTGCGCGAGTGCGTGAGTGTGGGCATAAACTGCGTTTCCCGAACACATCGCCCCTGCAATAAACCTCCCACGCCTGCCTCCTCCCCGTACTTCCGTCGGTCCCTGCCTGACTAGTTGCTTCCCCCTCCCCCCTGATCCTGTCATCTTCCCCCTTCTTCCACATCCGACGTCGTGAAACAAATGCAGCGCCGTGACAAAGTCACGACCATCGCACTCGAACCCAATTCTAGACTCGACTTTCCGAGCCCGATCGATCTGTGAGGATCCTGGGCCCAGAGACAAGGCAATCATGTCAGTTGTACATGTCGTTCACGACGCCTGGATACGAATGTCCCCTTGCTTGCCTTTTCCGCCTGCTTCGACACCTCCAGAAACCCAATAAAGCCTTCTGAGCGCCTCCGAGGAAGCAGGAAACGACCGAACATGTTTGAAAACCACCGACACCGTCCGTCCTCTTCCCCTCCCCCCCTGGGAGAGGGAAGAGGAGAAAGATGAGGAGGAAAACGAGGACAAGGAGAAGGAGAGGATGGAAGAGAAGACGAGGCAGAGAACATGATGATAGCGATGACGATGGTGGTGAGGAGGGGGAGAAGAAGAGGAGGCCCTCAGTCTTCTCGCCCTGCATCCTGCCTTCCTTCGCTCCCTCCTCCTCCCCTCGTGGCAGAGCAGGAGGAGATGGCGCCTCCCAGTAGGCGCCTATCCTCGAAAGCTCGGCGAACGGGGTTGCGCCAGGCGCCTTGTCGCAGGTGGGGGGCTCGAGGCGAGGGGAGGAACGGGAGAAACTTGAGGCGGGGATGACGTGTAGGGAGCAGGACGAGGATGAGGGTGACACGTAAGACACATATCGAAACGATGTTCCTGCTTCTGGGGTCCCGTTTCGGGCAGGGGGCTGTCGAGCAGGGGGGTGTAAAACATCAATCTGGGATGCAACATCCAGACAGGATGGACCCCTGGAGGTGCTCCCAGGTAGACTGATTTATGCCTTTGGTTGGGGCCAACATGAGGAGGTAGGGAAGGAGGAAGAGGGGGCGCTTGGAGATTCCAGGGGTATTTTGAAGGATGCAAAGGGATCTGTGTGTCCTCGGGGTTTGATGTGCAATGGGGAGGAGGAAGGGCAGGAGCGACCGTCGCTGCGAAAATGGCCGTCCTCAGGCACCCATGCGCTCATGCGTGCCAAACCAAGTGCGCGTAAGCACTGAAGCCCAGCATTCGGAGGCGGACGCAGGGGCGGAGACCAGGGCGGGGCAAGGCGCGGCGGCGTCTGCGGCGCGCATTCTGCACGCAGGCTGCAGGCAAGCGAGGCCGTGCCCCGCCCGTGCTCAGACGGCGTCCGAGTCGCCACCGCAGCCCGGTTGGCCCGAAAGCTGGCGGGCCCTGCCCGGTGATGTGCAGCAGGCAGCGCGCACCTCCATGGCGGGGCGGGGGAGGAGGAGGAGGAGGAGGAGGAGGAGGAGGAGGAGGAGGAGGAGGAGGAGGAGGAGGAGTTTTAAACTCGCGCGCTCAGGCATGCACGTGGGTGCCCCTGGTCTCGGCACCCTGGCCGAGCGCACTAGCAGCACGCTCGCGGCAGGGTGGGCCAGCGGCCTCAGCGCGCATCCTCTCTAGCGGCAAGCGGGGGCCAGCAGGCTGATGTCTGCTGCCAGTGCGCCCGCCTCCGCTGCTGCTCTCCCTGGCGGCAGGCGACGATCAGCAGGCTGACGGCTGCTGCCAGCACTACCGCCTCCGCCGTCTCTGGCCGCTGCTCCGCGGGATCTCCATCGCGTTCGCGGCCTGCGCCTTCTCAGCGTCCTTGAGCAGGAGCCACTCTGGCTTGCCCCTACTGGGCCACTGCTTGCGCTTCGAGCCCTCCGCCTTCTGCTCCTCCTCGGGCCGGGCGTGGGTCTTCCACTTCTGCTGCCCTGCGAACTCGTGCTGAGCCCCGTCCGTCTTGGGCTGCCACTTTGTCGCGCGCCTCGGCGCGCACCAGCTGGGGGTTGTTTGTGCGGCCCCCCACCGCGCATGGACCGTCTGCGCGTCGCCGTCGCTCTGCTCCGTCTCGTGGGCGCACTGGGGACGGCCCTGGTACTCCGCGATGCTCAGCTGGTTGCCGAGGGCCACCTGCAATTACGCGTCCACGGTGCGCACCTGGCCGTCCTCGATGCTCTCCTCTGCCTCCGCTAAGTAGAGCTTTCTGCCCTGGCCCTCCGCGAAGCTCCGCGTGTGGCCCTCGGTCCACTGGGCGTCGCCGTCGTTCTGCTGCTCGACGTTGCACGACTGGCCCTCCCCGCCGTCGATCTCGCCCTTCTTCTGCAAGATGTCCAGAGCGGGGAAGGCAGGGACCTCCACGAGCGGGGCGAGCATGTGCAAGTTGTCCAAGGCCTCCTCGAGCTCCTCTATCTGCTTGCCCTGCTCATCGATCACGTTGGCGAGGTCGCGCGTCTCGGTCTCCATCTGCTTGATCCGCTGCTTGGAGTCGTCCAGCATCTCCCCAAGGACGTGCATTTCCTGGTCCTGCTGGCTAAGCTGCATCAGGAGCTCCGCGTTCTGGGCCACCAGCTGGGCCTTGATCCGCATTGCCTCCAACAGCTCGGTGGCCTTCTGCTCCATGGACTGCTTGTGCTCCGCCTTTGCCGCCTCCAGCTCCAGCATCTTCTCGCCCAGCAGCTCCTGCCAGGAAGACTTCTGCTCGAGCTTGCTCTCATTCTCCCTGGGCCCCTGCGCGCTGGAGTCCGCCCCCTCGTGCGCGAGCTTGGACATCCCGTGGGCCTCTCCGCGAGCACTGAGCCGCGCCCGCGCCTGGTCGAGGGCTTCATCGCCCATGCCCGGGTGGCGAAGCAGGCTCGCGGCGGTGTCAATGCCCCGCCAGGCTCGCTCGAGGCGCGGTGGAGGCCTCCTCCCCTGGCCCCTGAGCTTCTCCAGCCCTTTCGCCGAGGTGCTGCCGCCCAGGGCGGCGACGAGCTCAGCGCCGCAGCCGACGAGGCGCTGCGCGTGGGCTCCGAGGCAAAGGCGTCCCTCGCCCTCCTGCCCGCCTCCCGCGCGCGTGGCCGCCTCGGCCTGCGCCTCCGCCGCCACTGGCGAAGGCTCCGCCGACTGCCCCTTGGCCTGCAGGAGCAGCGTGAGCTCGGCGGCCTCGCCCACAGTGCCCACAGACGCGAGGGCGGCACCGTGGCGGACCGTGGGCCCGCGGCGCCCGCCGCGCCCCATCGCACCGCCAAGTGCCGCGCGCCAAGGGGCAGCGCGGCCGTGTCGCTCGCGAGGGCGCCTCCGCGCGGGTCCCAGCGCCTGCCAGGCCCCTGAGCCAGAATGGCTACGGGGAGGAGGAGGAGGGGGGGGAGGAGGAGCAAGCAAGCAAGACCTGGGCAACTGGAGTCTGACACTGTCTGGCCTCTGCATCGTGAGACCTCAAGCCTGACAAGCGTTGCTGGTTGGCTCATTGCGCATCTCGAGCAAGCCTGCGGGACTTTGTAGCCCAACTTGGACATTCAAAGCCCGCTTTAGCACGAAGGCGCACCACACTGCATTCGACACTCTGTGAGCTGAGGCTTAGAGCACTTGGGCCCATCACCTCAACCTCAGGGCAGAAGGGCGCGGAGGGAGGCCCTTGGGACTAGGGCTCCGAAAGCAAGCGAAAAAAGGAACACACAGGAGCGAGTGCCAGCTCCGCCGCGCGTCTGAGGGTTTGGGTGCGCCTTCGTGCTATTTGCGACCCCCCCCCCACCCCCGCCCCCACCCCGCCCCGCCCTCACCTCGCGCCCACCCACCCTCGATGAACGCAGTGCGCACTCTTCCCGTGATGCCTTGTGACCTCGGTGGGGTTTCAGTACATTGTACTCCGCTGACATACTTCCCGATTAGTACTGCCACCCCACGTGACTTGTTGACGTAGGGCGACTTTTTCCAACCAAATTGGAAGACCTTGTGGGAAGGGAGGCTGTTCTCTTGCATGTCATGTTCTATGTCCGTGTGGCGCTGCGTGCTGGTGACAACTGTGATGTCGACGCTGCGGCATTGGAAGCTGATCTCCTCCATCCTCGTGAAGTCTGCGCTCTGGGCGTTGTAGTACACTATCTTTAGCGCCATGTCGGCCCCCGTGTACGCCTCCCTCTCTTCTCGTTTGTCTCGAGCCCTCAGGCCGCCTTCGGCCCGAGATACGCCATGCGCGCCCGAACTCAGCTCTGTGGGAAGCGGGGTGCCGTTGCTGCCTGAGCTTCTCTTCAGCCCTCATGGCAGCTGGAGGAGGAGGAGGAGCAGGAGGAGGAGGAGGACGAGGAGGAGGACGAGGAGTGGGGCAATCTAGGACGGTCACCCCCATGGCGGCGAGAGCTCCCGACCAACCCCCAGGCCACCGCGCTTCTGAGGTCGTCGCGTATCGCCCGCAGAGGAGCTTGCCTTAGGTCGGGCGTGTCCCCCTACAGGGGGAAAAAATCGCCCCCCAGACTATTTTTGAATATTCCTCCTGTAGAGGGACGTGCCCGACTTAAAACTTGCCACCTCGGAAGCGCTTGATGAAGTCGCGCTGACCGCCTGCGGTGCGACAAGCGTCGCATGGCGGTTCAACGCCGTTCTGGCTGGCACTCCGTCGGGCTCCGCGGCGATGCGCCGAGGGCGTCGTGACCCGCCTCGCCTCCGTGGCAGGGCCCCAGCAAGGCGCGCCACGAGCGTGTGCGCCAGTGCTCTTCCGAAGCTTCTTCACGACATGTCACTCTGCCCGGTTCGGGCTGCACACGCAAAAGTCGTCGCGGCACATCGTGCGCGCAGTGGCGGGCCTGGCCTGCTCGATCTTGGCTGGCCAGGGGCCGGCTCGGGTAACAAATACCAGGAAGACTGGCCACCGCAAAAGGGCATCCATGCCTTCCTCGCACCACCCCGTCCGGTCCGCCCCATCGTTCGTGCCTTCGCGGGAACCAGCTGGAGACCCATGTCCTCTTCTGTTGCTGCCGCAAGTGCAGCGCTCTGGGGGCCAGAAGGCAGGACTATCAAGATCCCGAATGCAGCACTGATCGACCCCTGAAACCTGGCCTCCATGGACGCGCTCGTCTTTGTCATCCACCAGACTGGCAACGCCAAAAAGGCCTGCGGAAAACTATCTGGGGATCCTCGCCGAGTCCGAGTGGTTATCCCCCCTCGATGAAGGTTCACGCATGGGCGTGATCAGAAGCGTCGGACTACGGTCCTGTCAGGAGGGGCAGACAGATCGTTGCCCGCAACGTCGTGCCCGAGTCGTTCCTCAACGTCCCGAGGCTATCCCTCTCGAAGAAGCCAAGAACAGCCGCCTGCTGGGACCCCACTGGCAACCGCTGTGGTCTTGCCACCAACCCTCCGCTAAATGGCGGTGATGTTTGCTACCAAAGCGACGCTCATCGGCACGAGAAGGCATCGAGCACCACCAGCGAGGCCATCACCAGCCGCCCCCGATTCGTGCGCAGCTTGCCGAACAAGACCCCCCAAGGGGTCACAACTGTGAGGAAGGCGGTTCTCGCCGCCAGCGGGGGGGCTTCGCAAGCCACGTCATATTCAAGTGCAGTGCAATCAAAACTGATCGCAAGGATGCGCAATAAGGATGCAAGGGCATTGGACGCCCATGCTGAAGCTTCTCGAGCGGGGCTGGCCGTTGAAATTGGTTGAGGATGAACCGAAAATTACTCCGACGGAAGAACCCCACATAAGAATCCTCTGGGCGAATCTGGAAAAAGCCATCACCGTCGTCCTCGTGGTTGGTGAGGCGTCCTGGCTGTCTCTTCTGCGTATATTTCCTCT